GTGTGTGTGTGTGTGTGTGTGTGTGTGTGTGTGTGTGTGTGTGTGTGTGTGTGTGTGTGTGTGTGTGTGTGTGTGTGTGTTAGCATTTCACCTTGTCTCCTTTACGTTCTCTGTGTCCCTGTGGTCCAGCCTCCCCATGATAACCCTACAGACAGAGAAACAAAAGCTTAACTAACAACAACAAATAATAATAATGCTCCAATTCAACAACATACAGTAGTTCACAAAATAGTATACTAGCCAACACTTCTGTAACCCCCAGTGAATATTGATATAGTGGGAGGTCACCGGCAGGAATGAGAAAGTAATTGGCTAGCTAAGCTAATAGACTCAGACATACAGTATTTATAAACTGTATAATTATATAATTATCTCCATCCTCATAGCATTAGAAATCCACTCTTACCCACTCACCCAGCTCCCCTTTGCTGCCCCTCTCTCCTCTGTGGCCCTGGGGACCCTATAGGGACGAGTAGAAAAGTGGATTTATAGCACGATTAGACTGATGAGTACAGATGATAATTGTGAAAACACATATTTTACATGTCTGTTTGGAGAACACTGAATGTCCTCTTCCAATATGAGAGCAACATGCTAACAAAGGTATCAACTGTAGCTGTGAACATGACAGGATGTGTGATTACCTAGAAGAGCATCAGGACTGTTTGAGGCATATGATAGCTATGTGATTAACATGATGATTCAGCCTCTATGGAGAGAGACATATGACAAGCATGCTCATTTCTGACGTGGAGCTAATCTGAAGTAAACATTGAATACTGCTTTCTATTCCTCCATCTTGTGACTGTGGAACTCCCTCTCTTGGATATCAGCATGTGAAGGACACTGTTCAGGAACTAGTTGATGCTCTGTATGTGATGACTACTTCCATTCTGGAGAGGATCACAGATACATGGATCCTGAGATTGAAGCTCAAGCCGGGGACCAGGGATATTTTTCCAACAATGTCTTTACCTGTTCTCCAGGTAGGCCTGGATGTCCCGGGGCAGAAGGGTTTCCTGAGGTCCCTTCTCTTCCATGTTGGCCCTGAGGACCAGGGACCCCCCGTGGTCCAGGACTGCCCTGAAGAACAACTCAACATGTGATCAAGAGTATAGTTTCAACAATCTTTCTGACTGAGCAGACCATAATGACCTGAGAGGCTGTCCAACAGCATCCTCTGGGACCCAAAGCATGCTCTGAGAGAGAATCTGAACTGCTACCATCTAATGGAGATTCACTAAAGTCAGCCTGAAGCATCCTCTGAGCTCCAGTCAGTCCTCTCAGTGAACACAGAGCTGACTCCAGATCAGATGCACGCTGAAGGCTCTTTGAGCATCTCTCACTGATCCTGCTGTTATGTTTGTCTGTTGATGTTACACATGGAGCTGCTGTGATGCATGCAAGTCCAATTTCAGACTTGATCTGACCATTAAAGTATTATTGTCCTGTATCGTGACCCCAACCCCGGATATTTGAAGATATATTTTCTTGTTTATATCACACATTATTAATAACGCAGTCCATTGAATTTAAATTATTTCATGATCTGATCCATGGAGTTGTTGTTTCCTGTGTCAAGGAGGTTTTTGTTTGGTTGAATTGGTTTTATGTCAGAATGAATAAAGGAAGATTTGCTTGCCTGATTTTCATCTAACTTGATAAACCGTGTAGCATGGGCTGAGAGGGAAACCATTACATTTCAAAACTTCCTTCAATGGAGTTGCTAGAAGTGGACAGATGATTGGGTACAAGGAGAGATACTGCATGCTGTATATTGGTTGGACTATCTCTCTTACTGGAACTGTTTAATTCATACACCTATTCACACACGATGGATTTACTGGCTTTGTTGAAGAGTGTGGGTTTAACCAGGTTTAAATGAGATATATTGCTTTGATAGAAAGGGTTCATCTGATATATGCTTGCTATTTTGACACATGTACTCTTTGTAGAATTTGCCCAGACCTATACTCATGTAATGGTCACGTCCGACATCAGGAAATAAGTCACAATGTAATATATATTTGCAGATATTTCTTGCTTTTTCCACTCATAGGCGCTAAATACAATCTGAGGGAAAAGGAAAGCAATCCCGCTGCTTCAGAGGAGCCAGCAATACAACTGGAAAATGTAAGAGGAGATAGTCAAGGTAATTGTCTAATCTCACAAGGCCTCGCTGTAGATAAGAATAAAGTAGAGATACCTACGATTTTCCCTTCAACTCCTTTTCGTCCTTGCTTCCCGTCACTTCCAGGCCGCCCCTGCAAACAACACGAGCAACCGGAGTGCTTTTACAATATCCTGTTTGGTTTGTTGCTTAGTATTATCATGATAGCCTTTTCCCTTTCAAGAAATCAATAACACTTATACTTACAATTGGTCCTTCATCTCCATGAGGTCCAGGAGGCCCCGGAGGCCCCTTGCGTTTCTGCAAATGCATATTTTATTATTGGATTAGGATGTATTAACTCTGTAAATAAGGTTATATTATTTTCTGTGGGGAAAAAGGAAGTGCATTCATGTTTTTTAAACAAACACTTACCGGCCAGGAGGAGACCAGCTTTTTGTAGATCTTCTCTTTCTGTAAGGACATGAAAAGCATTTTGTGATTATCAGGGGGAAAAAATAACAAAAATTGGAAGTATAATATAATACTTCATTAATGTCGTAGAACCTTTATCTGTTTGTGATTTGATTAATTTGTGGTATATTGAATTCTTCACAATGTAATATAAACTAGTTGACATGTGAAATATACAAGTGTGCTACAATATTACTGATGTATATGCAGGGCCGTCCCTGGCCAACTTGAGGCCCCAAGTGACATTGTGAGATGAGGCCCCGCCCCCAACCGACAGGAGTGAAACAAAAATGTTTGGAAACAAAGTACTTTGCAAATATAATTCCTTTTTATTATTATTATCAACACAGTTACTTTTTTATACAGTGCGGTAAATGGTAAATAAATCAGAGAACTACACTGAGAACTGCGCACATGCTCATAAGCCGAGGACCCCATGATCGGCCTGTAGGGAGGGACGGCCCTGTGTACATGCTAGTATAATACTACAACTACTACTATAACAGTAGGCCTACTATGAAACCAATATTTTGTGAAGGCTCAACACAAACACCGTCAATATTAATTTGAAAACCAGCGAAACAGGCAAAGCACTGTGTATGTTTAATTTATTTGAATTACAGTATATTGGCATAATACTACTTCATTTACCAGATCCCAGTTCAATCACCAAAGATCGATGGGTTACTGGATCAGAGATATATCATCTGTTTACCTTAAAATCCTCCCACTCTTCTTCAGAGTTTTTAAAAACAGCAATGGCCGGCATCCCAGGAGGACCAATGGGGCCCTGATTTCCTGTCCGCCCGGTCCTGCCCATAACGCCTGAATAACCCTGAGAGGACAGAAAACACAAAGATTATTTTAATATGTAGACAGCAGAGGTGGGAAATAGTGGAGTACAATTACTTTGTTACTATACTTAAGTACATGTCTCTGGTATCAGTACTTTACTCCACTACTTATTTTTCTCATGACTTTTTACTTTGACTTCTTACATTTTGAACACAAATACCTGTACTTTCTACTTCTTACATGTTGAACACAAATACCTGTACTTTCTACTTCTTACATGTTGAACACAAATACCTGTACTTTCTACTTCTTACATGTTGAACCCAAATACCTGTACTTTCTACTTCTCACATGTTGAACTCAAATACCTGTACTTTCTACTTCTTACATGTTGAACTCAAATACCTGTACTTTCTACTTCTCTCATTTTCCAAACAGGCTGGTTCCTTTAGTCTGAATGTGTGTTTGGTGGCGTGATCATTATTATTTAGAGTCATTGCGTGCCTATTGATTTGAACACGATCCGTGTATCCATCATTTCCTGGTCTTCTCTAAAGAAGAGGGACCAATGGAAACGTTGTCATGTTGCCGTTGTTCACCATGGAAACATTCATTAGCTAACAATGACATTATTGTTCTATTAATATAAAGGGAGGTCAGGTACTCTTTAAAACAGCTGCTAGTTATGGGTACTTTTTACTGAAGTACATTTCAAAGCCTCTTTACTTTTACTTGAGTAAAGAAGTTTAGTCAGTACTTCTACTTTTAAACACGAGTATCTGTACCTCTCTGTGTTTACTTTTGCCCTCTCTGGTAAACAGATACAACAAATCTAGCTTTTCATACACAATTTAGAGCCTATGTTTGACCACTAGGGCGCAGAAGAACTCCACAAAAAGCTGACAATCCT